CACTTAAATGGAAAGAAACCCAATGTCAAAATACTGTTTTGAACAGTGACTATAATGTAGCAATTTTCATAATAAAGTGAAAAAAGATTGGTCTTTCTGAAATAATTTTTAGCATTATCAGCAAAAGGGGGAGAGTCATTCTGGCAGGGCAGTGCTTAAAAGTATTGTTATACTTGTTCTCCTTGCAACCAAGAATAGAGATAGACTTCTTCATGTTCATGAACAAATTCTTTTTATTTCAATCCTACGTTTAAATTATACTGAATAATACGATAGATGAACAAAAACATGTTTAGAAGGTAAGCTATCAAATATTTGTTTGGTTTTTTTTTTGGAAAAAAAAAGTGTGACTAAGGGTGGAGAGTGTATTGAAGTATAACACACCAGCTCTAACGCTTTATCTTTTGTGCTGAGTATCTTTCCATGCAGTCATCTTTTTGTACATCAAGTTCTAACATTTAAATGAAAACTGCAGGAGTAGGATTTCTTCTTGAGTAGGAGTTACAGTGAACAGCCAGGTAAACTGATTTTCATCTGCACAGATTAACTTGTTATTTATTTAGCTTTTTGTAGGACTGGGAATGATTAAAAGCATTCTTTTTCCTTGTAACTGTTCAGCATCGGTGATCCTCCTCTTTAGGTATTTCAAAGAATAAACAATTTTAATCATAAGCTTTGACACATGAAGAACCCTTTTCTGTATGACTTTAATTCCATATTGCTTCTCTGCCTTAAGCTGAGAATGCACCTGCAGATGGAAATGTTTTTCCATTCTCTTCCTACCATTGAAAAAAGATGGTGTAGCTACAAATATGTAACAACTTCAAATGTTTAACTTCATTTACTGTGAATGAAACAAACTTGAGTATTAAAAAATCTGCCTTTTCTACCTATATACAAAATACTGTAAAAATAGTATTGAGATCACTTGTGAATTTAGTTTGCTGATTATTAGAGGCCTGGGCTGGATTTTTTTTTTTGCCTTTCTGGCAAAGCTGACTGATAGCTTAGTTATTGGCTGAAGTGAATCCTCGGATTAAATGCGTTTCTGACACAGATTCCAGTTTACAGCCTACGTGGGCTTGATGCATTGGGCAAGTAATGCACAGCAGCTTTGATTTTCATACTTCTGTAGCTACCCAAGGAACGAGTTAACCTGCAGGACTTCCGTCTCTATTGCATCATGGTAATTAATTTATTTTCTTCATCTTTTCATTTTTCTGAAGTTGAAAGCTGGTTGTTTCTTGTGTTGCAGTGGAAATCCTGTAAGGAACAATGGAAGATGGAGGCTAAAGTATAACACATTGTAATTTGTAGGCATGGTAGTTGAAGACAGACCTGAAAAGCTGCGTATCCTACTAAGTGGGGAAAGTTGCTGAGAATGAGAAACTACTTAAGTGAGAGACAAAGTATGCTTTTTATGCAAGAAAAGGGTTAAGGGGATTTGTTCTTCGTGGTAATGAGTAGTTCTAAGGTTAGGTTTCTGCGGATTAGGAAGGAGGGGATGTCCATAGATTAGCTAGGGCAGTGAGGATACTTGCTCTGCTAACATCCAACAAATATTCTTTCTCTCCCGAAATTCTACGAGAGCTGAACATGGTGTATTCTGTGCTATTTGCAGGTAAGAAATTATGTACTGCACTGAAACCATTATGCTACACAGATGCATTTCCCCCGTGCAGTTGTGAAATTAATGTCTTTTGATAGTTATGGCAAAGCTAATTAAACTTGTGTTAGGTGTTCAGTTCCCACCAGCCAAATACTAGAGATGTGTATGAATGGGGAGTAGGAACTAAAAAGATAATTTTTCCTCATTCCCAATCTTCACAGAATAGTCTGACTTGAATGTCAGGTGCTATATATGTTGACCCTTTTTGCTGAAAGTAAATTGACTTCACAACCATCCCTGTTGTAATAACAGTCTAGGAAGCTACCTCGTGTGTAGTGAGAGATACTGTAGAAGATGGATGTGAATGGAAAATTTTACCTTTGAACTCCCTAACCTTGTAGTGTTTAAGTTGATTTAGTGATCAGCGTGCTCATCTTGTCAGTTTTGTCTTCAGTCCAGGTGGTTGGCAATAAACAGCTGGAAGTAAAGCTGCCTGCTTCACATGACTATGGTTTGCTGCGCTCAAGTATTCTTTGAATGTGCTGCTCTTCTAGGAGGTGATGCTTTAGAGGTGTTACCACCATATAAACAAGATAATAGCACCATCAGTGTAGCAATATGCTTTTCTTTTAGAAGAAAGGAGGATGAATCGAATCATCAGATATATCTAGTTACAGTTATAACATACTTTTAATCAGCAACTTTACATATGCAAGTGTGATTATCTAAATACTGTAGAATGGCTTACTGAATGAATGTTCTTTTAAAAAAAACAAACAAAAAAACCCAACACCTGTGCCACCTCAGGCTAGCAGTAGTTATCCTTGTATATATGGTTTTAAACAAAGTCTCAGCCGTTGCTTAAAATATATGTTCTGCTTGTGTTTCAGATGGCTATTTAAATTCAAGCACTTCTTGCTTTGAAGTTTTTTACACTCACTTGAGAGTGACCTGTGTCAATGGGAGGACTAATTAAGTTTTTAGTGTGGGACAAAAAAAAGTTCTGCATGGGCATATCATTAGAAGAAGCTTATTCTTCTTTATTTGCCTTTGCAATTTACTGACATTTGGTGGCTTACTTAAGACAAAAGCTCAAGGATATTCTCTGCTCTCAAACTAGTTTACAATCTTCAGTAATCCAAACAATTCTGACAAATTTAAATTGAGTGGTTTTCCTTTTTAAAAATGCTCAGTAACCATGCAAAGGAAACCCTAAGTATGACCCTTATAGTGTGTGTATATGTCTCAGGGAAGGAAGGAAGGTGCAGTGTTTTTAATTAGCTTTCCCCTTAAGTAAGCAATTTGGTAACTGATAAGCTTGCAGTCTTCTCTTTGATGCCAAAAAGGTAGTCAGAGCAATGAAGCTATTTGTGTTTCTAAATTAATACTCAGTGAAAACTAGGGTACGATGTCCTGAATGTAGTTTGCAATGTATTTGCTTGTCTAAACCATCCCACAGTGAAGATTTCTGGCCTACTCCTAATGTCTTCAGTAATTAAGAAACAGGTATTCATGGCTAGATTTATATGGCCTGCTTACTTGATCTGCCTAATGATGGATTTAAGGAAGCTTAACAAAGGAGAAGGAAAACCCTTAAAGGAACAGAACTCAAGAATATTGAGGGATAAAAAATACTAATTTTGGCTCAACCCAGTTGCCAGTGAGCGTGTGGTAGGAGGATTCAGTGTTACATAAACTATTACAAAGATAAAATATGGAGAAACAGTTTTTCCTCAGTGGAAGAACGGTTATGCAGTATAATGCAGCAATTCAATGGAAATGTTGTGTTGGGTGGGGGAGGGAGATCAAACTATGTATTTGCTGGTCTCTGAAAGGAGAAATCAGAATTGTAAAAGTGGTCTTTGGGTTAGAATTTCTGCAAGACATAGAACTGAGCATCCTGTGGAGGTAGCTTGTAATGAATTAGCATTACTCAGCAATAAAATGTTTGAATCAGAATTTCCTAACTTCTGTTCATTTTTTCCTCCTTTCATTTCCACTGCCTTCTGAAAACAGTTCTGTGATTTAACAGGAGAGAGGAAAAATGGTCTAAAAATAAGTATTAAGATGTGCAGTAAAAGTGGCAGTAATGCCTTCTGCTTTTATAAGCAGATCAAGGTAATACATTTCCTGCATTTGCCTTTGATATGTTCTGTCCATAGAACAATTTAGAGGAAAATGGCTGCATTTTTGCTTTACTAATCTAGGAGATGAGCTACTGTATATTTAACAGAATTTGATGAGGCATTCTCTGTGCATACAGTGTCATAGTGGTGTTCACTGCTGGCTGATGTGCTCAGATATTTGGTGTTGCAGACTTTTTAACTTGTTAACAGTGTGACCTGTTCAAATACGTAGTTCTTCAAGAGCAATCTTACAATAACAGCAGTCTTGACAATATCTTCATATTTGTATCAAACGTGATTTGAAGTTGGCTTAACTGAGATGTGTAGTAATTCAGCATCTTTGTTACATCTCTCATACATGGGTTTTTGATACTTTGGTATAGAAGTACACCAAGTTATTTCACAAGTCTAGGGAAATAGCACAAGTAAGCACAGGACCGTGTGAGTGAGAGAAAACAGTGTGTTACCTGAGGAATTCCCATGCTTGTTGGAACTTTTAAGTGAAGAATTGTGAGCATTCTCTAAGGCAATCCCCTACTACATTGTTTCTTGCTAGAAATAGATGGAGATCTTCCTCCACTTCTAGTCTAACGTATCACTTAGTGCAATCAGCTGTAAACGCCTGAGTCAGATGAGGTAAGGTGTGGGATTTTTTGTTTGTTTAATTCATTTTGAGGGAATACGGAGGAAATTATGAAATCCTTTCAAAGATGTTGCATTTAATTTAAACAGAGATCCTTTCTTTGCGAAATTATGCCTTCAATTGTTTCAATTTTAATAATATCAATAACAACAAGAATAAATATAATTTGTTTTTTGAATATGATTATTTTTCAGCTATGTAAAACTTACTTGTTTTATGTAAAACAAGCTTTTAAAATCTTGGGGAAAATAACTTTCTGTGGTAGCACACTTAGAGGTGGGGAACACACGTTATATAAGTAGATTGTTATTTTAGACAACTTAATAAAGCAAGCTACTGACAATTCTGTGAAGAAATAAAATGATATTTTGCATCTTAGGTTTATCTCTGCGTTTTGGGTGGTGGTGGGTAACTGACTTTACATTTGTGGCTCGCGTGTCTTCAATTTATGCTTGCAACCATTGTTGCATGTATAAAAATGATTGTCATTGCTTTTTTTTGTTGTTCTAATTTTGTATCAATTTAATATACTTGATTTTTCAGTGTGAACATACTCTTTTCCCTAGCTCAACGTCTGTCTGTGAAAACCTACTTGGTGTGAATGCTGTAGTCAAAAACATAGATGGAATCTCCTGGAATGAAAGAAAAAATGGAGATGCCAGCAGCCTGCGGTCAAGATAATGGTACTTGTAACTCTTGCATTTCTCTTGCCAAGAAAACTGGCAAAAAGTTTTGTTCCATGCATGTGTGACTCTGACTTGTGAGAAAGACTAATTACATTTAGAAGTTTTACTACTTAATAATGGGAAAGACTTTTGGTCTCTAATGTTGTTAGGTAGTTTTATAGGGTTTCAGAATAGAATTACTGCCATTTGTTTCTGGCTTAAAGACAAGTTTCTTTAGCTGTATGAAAACATTCTAATTTGTAATAGGGCTTTTTCCTTCTGAAGTAAATGATTCTTTTTATTTAAAAAACTTATGCTTCTATGCGGAGTATTTTATTTATAAATATTATAAATAATAAATTATAAATATAAATTATAAGTAATAAATTACAATATTATAAATATTGTATTATTTGAGCTTACTTTGTGTAGGGATTGCATTCTTAGAGGTACTTAGTGCAAGTTCTTTCAGAGGAAGGCAATGAATAATGAGGAAGAGACCTCAAAAAGCCACGTTCTCTTGGGTGATAGGAAGTTCTTGCAGCAGATAATCCTTTAAAGTTAGCTGTGCTTTGAAAGGCAGATCTCCCTGTGGGGCTTTTACAGTCATGGTTCACAGAATTCATAGATCATTATTCTTGCAAGTGTTTAGACGTCTGCTATCCTGGAACAGATTATTTCTTTGGTAATGAGGTACATTTCCAGGCTTCCCAATTGGGATATTCGATAATTCTGCCTGATGGTTGAGGTAAGAGTCCCATCTGGAGAAGCTTAGTGAGGAAGTACCTGTATAAATGATTGTATAAAGAAAATAGCTGATCGAAACTAAAGTTGATCGAATATAAGTGTTGTCATCGTTACAGTGTAGGGTTGGTATAGGAAATAGGGAACAGTTAACTGTCAGTGACTAAAAAATCTTGTTCAGGAGAGAAGTAAGAGCTGGTTTCTGTGTTCAATTAGCTGTGGTAACTGGATAATGGCAGCTGGCTATACAGTCCATTGCAGAAAACAAGTAAAGCAGACAGAGGAAATCAGTGCGTATTTCTTGCAAGCATAAAGATGTTGCTTTTCAAGGAATGGGTCACTGATTAGCTTTGGTTGATCTTCTATTCGTGCTGAAATTGTGTTGCACTTTTCTGTTTCTTGGGCTCAGGTTTATCTCATGTTCTGACTCTAGTGCTACAAGAACTGAGTTTGCTCTGTAAAAGGGATGTCAATGGCGTTGGCGTGTTGTATGACCTGCTCAGATCTCGCTGGCTGCAAGCACTTTTAAAGGTAAAATAATATTCAGCTGTGAAGACGGCTGTTTCCAGGTGATAGCTACTTTATTTTGCCATGTAAAGACATGTAAAGAATAATTCACGCTAAGTGCTCCTAGTCCTTATATTAGAACTAACATCAGCAGTCCAGGTGAACAAAACTACTTTAGCTTTATGGAGAAAAAAATATTTTTATGAGACAAGCTCTTTTACTTGATGCATCCATATTAAGGTTAGGGGTGTAGAGGCACAAGTTGAATATGGCATTGCTCAGCTGTCTTTTTCCACTCTTCAGTGTCAGTTTGGCTGTGTATCTTGCTTGGCATAGATACTGATTAAATAATACTTTTTGGTTTTTATGATCTGATATGCAGCTGGATGCTGTGTGTTGTTATAGAACAGAGTTTTGGCTGGTACTTCTGTCTGAATCAACTATATCTCTTTATAAAACAATGTTTGTACAAATTTTGTTTTTCTTTTGTGAGGATTCTAAAAATCTTTAAAATTTAAATAAAAAATGCCCTTAAGCCTGTTTTAAATATGGCTACTTGGTATTAAATTTGTTTTGTTAATCTGGCCTTCAACTAAGGGCAAGGAAGCAAGCCACAAGTCAAAATTGACACTGTCTTGCTACTGTCCTGTGTAATCAGCTTTCCTTGCTGGAAAACTAAACACCAAAGCATAACTGGCTAGCTGAATGACCATATGGAAAAACAATTACTTATAGACTGAATTCTAGATGCAATAGGCGTTAAAGATTGAGATTACAAGCTCTCTGGCTCTAGTTGAAATGACAAATTCCTAGAAATGCAGTATTGTCTTTGGTATATTGTGTATGTATCTATATAGTCAAGAAAACAGATGATGCTCTCATTGCATTGTCTTGTCTATTGTGGCATGCAATAGATTTATGAATGCCTCCAAAACTACCTCAGAAAAAGACCAGTTCCTGTCATGCTGCAGGCACATGCATTGAGCTGTGAGGTAAGACCATGTATTTCTTTACTTACTAATACCAAATCAGTCAACTTAACTGCAGAAAATAATGTTCTAGTATTTGTTTTGTGTCTCAGGTCTGAATATACTATATAAACTGGAAGGATTCTTTATCTATTCAATAGCTGATTACTTACTGTGTTAAGAGAGGGAAAGAAAATGTATACAGCTGTAATCATTAGACTGCACAAGCTCTGGCCGTATGAGATCATTATTGTTTGCTTTAACCATTGACTGTGTGTGTGTGTGTATATATACATAATTTCTTATCTCACTGTAGTTCAGTGTTATGGATATTATAAAGCACTTTGACATGGGGTTTTTGAAAAGCTTTTTAGATGTTTTTTTCTATTAGCTGATTATTAAATAGTAATAATTAACATTTAAGTGGAGAAACTGACAGTAGTGATGATATTGGTTGAGGCATAGAAAAAAGTAATTTAGAGCACATGGCCTGAACCAAACGAAGTGTTACACAGTTGCACAACATGCAACCAGACTTATTTTGGTCCAGTTTTAGAGCAAACAGTGTAGATATGCTTTTAGTCATATAACATGCAGGACTTAAAAGTTTTATAATGTTGTATTCCTCAACTTATTTTAGAACTTCCTTTTAATTAATTGGCCTTCAGAATCAGTCTCTGTGCTTACTTTTATCAGGTGGTAGAGTTGCTGCATGAAGCTCCTCCGTCTGGAGAGATCAAAGAGCTAAGACGATTGCTGAGGGCTCCTCACTTAAGGGTAAGTAATGCTTAAGAAAATAGAAAATTTGCTCATAGCAGTGTGTGCAATGGGGATGGAAACAGATGACCAGCTGCTCACAGGAATCAGGAAAGAAATAGGAAGAGGCTTAGTTTCCTAGTCATGGGCTAACCTAGTTGAGAATTCATTTCGGTACTGTGTATCTGCAGTACCTGCACTGGGCTGTGTTTTATTAACAGCTACTTTTTAGAGATTTCTTTAAAAGGTAAATTCTGAGCAGTTGCTGCAGACATGTGAAAACAGAGTTTATTTGATATTGTGTGTAAAGCCTGCGTTCTTATCTTCCAAATAGAAATATTTCAACTTCTGCAAGACTTCCTAAGGAAACACAGAGAGAAACTGTTCTTAATTTTTTACAGTTGGAATTGCCAAATGGGAAGAAGAAAAAGTCTATGTGAAGGAAACCTATGTCCACTTAAGGACTTACCCTCTGATTTCTGTTTCCTGACCAGTCACTGTTAAAAGTAAAATCTGTTCTGATGTATGTTCTTTGCTGATGGGTTGATTTCTTTGTTTTCGCTTGTAACAGGCCTTGCTATCTGCTCATGATACTGTGGCCCAGAAAGATTTTGAACCTACGCTTCCACCACTGCCAGACAACATACCTGAGAATGAGGAAGCCATGAGGATTGTCTGCTTAGTGAAAAACAACCAGCCTCTGGTTGGGGAGTTTACTGATATCTGTCAAATCACTTCAGCTTACACGAGTATTGGATAATGCATCGTATGCATTTTGGTTTATTTCCAGGAATATCGCACAGATTGTGTGTGTTCTGGAGGCTTTCACAGAATTGGAGATTCGCAAGAATTATTAAGATTGGAAAGGGCCCTAAGGGATCATCTGGTCCTGCTCCGTGCAGGGACAGCTAGAGAAGGTTGTTCATGGCCATGTCCAGTCAGGCTGTGAACACCTGGCAGATGCTTTTATCCCATTAAATTTAAAACGTAAATAGGACTGAGAGCTGTTCCCTTAGTCAAAACAGTGAAGATAGAAAGGAGGATAGAATGAAAGGTTCATTTGTGCTTATATGCTGAAAACATTGTAATCTGACTAATCATCTTGGGAGAAGATTTCTAGGAGTCAGATGCTGAAGTTAATTTAGTGTGATATTGGATGATTTAGTATTATGGAATAGTGCTGCTAGTGATACATTCTTCCTGGATCCATGTGGTGTTTTAAAAATATATTTATCCTTTAATGCCTTTTTGTCATTGCAAAAGAGATCAGACCTGTAATTTGAAAGAAAACTTTTAAGATCTTAAGTGATGAAAGTGTTTTTTTCTGTTTGCCAGGGTGCCACTATTAAACGGCACGAGATAACAGGTGACATAACAGTTGCCCGTGTGATCCATGGTGGTCTAGCAGACAGAAGTGGTAGGTATAACTTGAAATAAGGTACTAACAAAAATTCAAGGTAAAATAAGGTATTTTTCAAGTATATTTTATTTTTTCAAGATAATGGCTTTACTTCTACAATTAGCCTTCCCTTGTGAATAAGCAAGTGTATACACCATACAGCACTGTATGCTGTGATGCATTGGAGTGAGTTTGATTCTGCTTTAATTTTTGTATGAACATGATATGTTTGAGAGAGCTGAGGTACAAATCGAGTTTTTCGTTATTCAGATGTTAAAAGTCACACAAATCTACTATGAGATTGGTCATTAACAATCAAAACTGATGTATTATAAAGCTAGCAGCTTATTCTCTGATGGAGAAATAGAATTATAGATAACTTTGTGTAAGATAAAGGGCACTAAGGAATGTGTAGTAATACTTTTCGGCAGTAGTCTATTAAACACTTTGGTATTATTAGTTGCTAAGCAAAATTAAAAGACTTTCCTTGGAAACATTACTGCTTTGTCATCCTAGAATTATATGCCATTTGTGTTCCTTGGGAAATGTAACTAAAATGTAGAACATAAGAAATGATATTTATCTGTAATCATTGTAAAGTTTCTATTAGTAGTTCTGGATTCTGTGTAGAGAAGAAAACCCATACTGTAGGTAGTAGCTGAATATATTCCTAGTTTGATTAATATTTTAAGTTGAAGGAAAATGTGATATTCTTAATTTTTCAGCACCCAAGCAATTAGGAATTTCTGAAGGTTTGGTTCCAAGTTTTGTGGTTTATTAAGATGCTCAGAAATGATTTTAGGAAAGGAAGCTATATTAAAATGTCTATGTAAACTTTTAAGGCTAATTATCAGTAGATTGCATGTTGTGTAGGGGAGGTGAAACAGGCTGCCCAGAAGAGTGCTGGAGTCACTGTCCATGGAGGTTTTCAAGGAGAGATTCACGTGGCACTGAGGGACATGATTTAGCAGGCATGGTGGTGTTAGGTTGGTGGTTGGACTTGGATGATCTTAGAGGTCATGTTCAACCTTAATGTTTCTAAGATTCTAAATAAGGAAACTGGAGTGTTCAAAGTTCTCATGTCTCACAGAATCTGGGTCTTATCCGGGGACAATATAGCGTATTCTTGTGTACCTAGTGTATGGGAACTTCTACAGCTGACCTCTAAACCTGTGATATATCTTTGTTTACCCCCCTCCCTGCCCCCTGCCAAGATCATCCATGCTGTGATAAAGCTGCTGCTGCTGCTTTCATACTTGTTTTTACTGTAGGGTTGCTGTATGCTGGAGACAAATTAGTGGAAGTAAATGGAGTTTCCGTTGATGGACTTGAGCCTGAGCAAGTTATTAATATTCTGGTACTGAATCTCTTTTAAATTTTATTTGGACTTTGAGGGTGACAGTATACTGCTCCATTTCCCTACCTGTGCTGCCTTCCACTCCCTAGAAAGATTGTTTCTTTGCTGTGGATGAAATTCACAGCTGCTTATAAAATCGAAGTCTTGTGCAAATTCAAGCCTGAAAGTCCAACATGGATATAACAGAATCAAATCTAACTTAATTGTGGCCTTTCCATCCCCAAATTCTGTGCGGAAAAAAAAAAAAGGTAAATTATTAATTTATTCAGACTTCACTGATGCTTAATTTCCTTGGAAAATCTTCCACATGAATGAAGTGGCAAGGTGGTACTCTAATAAAATTCCATCTTATGAAATGAACTAAAGCAGAGTGAAGTGAATAAACTTGAGTTACATCCCTTCACTTGCATGAAAGCACAGTAGTAATCTCTTGTCAAAATCTTTTGAAGAAAGATCTGTCTCTTTTTTATACTAACCTTGCACACAGTCTTTCAGGTTTTTTCACTGCAGAGTATTAGTGCCAGTTAGGAATGGCATATGGTCATGCTATGCTAATGTCAAGTCTTCTGATGCGTTATTTCCCTCGGCATACTACTTCTAGATAATTTTTAGCTTAATTGAAATACTTAATTTTCAAATATTAAATATTTTTCCTCCCTCTTTTACATCACTTGTCTAACCGAACTTGCCACTAATTTAAATAAGATTTCAGTAGAAAAGTTAGGTTTGAATTCATGTTGAACTTGCATATGTTTATAACAGAACATGGTTTTTCATTGAATTAAAACTATTCAGTGACATTTGGAAGTTTCCTTCTTGATTTTACTTTTGGAAAAAATGTAATAGCCGTATTAACTCAGTCTACCTAGTTCCATTTGTAATAACATAAAAGCCATGTTATGGTAAGTCTGTGTGACAAAGTTTGGTCTTTTGTGTTGAATGCCAGTCATGTTTTATTCCTCTTTAATCATTTAGGCTCTTTCTCAAGGAACAATTATGTTCAAGTTGATTCCAGTTTCTGATCGTCCTGTTAGCAACCAAACAACAGTAAGAGTTGGTCTTTTTTCTATGTTGCTACTGCAAAGAATTGCTACAATTGCCTGTCTAGTAGCGTGATGCAAAGATGTGGCATTGCTTCGAATTTTACTGCAGTCCCTAAAATGTTACTTGCCATATTGGCTACCTCTCAGCTAATATGCTGTTGCTGAAGCAGTAAATAGACTAAGCTGAAATATAGTTGTGTCTCAGATAATGAAGACATTTTTAGAGCTATGTAGAGGTTAAAGCTCTATTTTTTTATCATAATTTACAAGTCTTCTCTCTTTGCTACTCTACTTTTTCTCCTCCTTAATGAATTGATAGGATTCAGAGTTTGATCTTGTTTTTAAAGCTCAACTTAATCATGAACAGACTTAACTAGCAGATATACTTGGCTTTGTGATTATAAAGGTTATGTAGTATCTTGTTGGTTTTTTTTATTTGCTTGTTTTTTACCAGCTGTATGTGCGAGCAATGGCAGATTACTGGCCATTACAAGATCCTGCCATACCATGTGCTGATGCAGGTTTGCCTTTTAAGAAAGGTGAAATACTCCAGATTGTGGACCAGAACGATGCTCTGTGGTGGCAGGCTAGGAAATTATCAGATCTTAGTGCCTGTGCTGGACTGATACCCTCAAACCATCTTCTGAAAAGGTAAAGTAATCTTAATTTTTACAATTTCTAGTCCAGTCTTGCTACATAAACATTTGTCATTCATAGCAGTGATATTCAGTTACACCTGACAAGTGTCTCTCCTTTTACTGTTCTCAGGCTTATTTCTCTCCTTCTTTCCCAATGTGTGTGAGAAAATGCTTTTCAGAACACCTATGTGATCTGAAATTAAATCTTATGTTTATAGCAGTTATCTAATCTCTGTAGTAAAAGCCCTCTAGTAGTTAGAGTATAGAAGCTACAGTTTTAGTGGAAGTGAAGAGCTCTGTTTGGAATCATAATTCATGGTGTTTAAATATATGTATTGGATGAGGGATATTAAAATGTAATATGTGAGGGTAGGCTGTATCTAACACAGATGCATGTGTTTTTTTGTTTCTTTTTTATGAGGTGTCTTATGAGCCATTACTGACTTTTAAGTTTTGGTGAAAACTTATTTCACCAAATAAATGGAACTGCTTCAGAAGAGGACAAGGATCTTTTGCCTGTTCTCTACAATATAACCCACTGTTTGTTTCTGAAAGCATAAACTGTAAAGAAAATTTAAGCTGCTATAGCACACTTATTCAGTTTGGTCCTCTAACCACATGTCCTATTTGTGTTGCCTCAGGAAAATATAAGGCCAAGCAATCATAGATAAACTTTGATTTATGTTCTGTATAAACCTACCTGTGTTTTTATAATAGAAGTCGAAATCATACTAGGTTGTGACTGAAGCTGGAAGCAAAAGGCTTTCTTCTAATTCTACAGGTCTGTAGACTAGAATGGCTAATGCTTGTCCTTATACATTAACTCAAAATATTTTTGTGCTGCTGATTTGCAAATTACATTTGAACAGTTCTGATAGCATGTAGTTTTCCTTCAGTATTCTGCATTGGGCTGAAACTGCTAATATTTCCATTTTTTGATGTTTTGCATTGTCTCAGTAGTGATTAATATTAAACATTCTGTGAATATGGTTAAAGCATCATGCCCTTGTGGACTGGTTTCTTTTTTTCTTAATTTAACTGTGCTATATTTCTTTCTATGCAGGAAGCAGCGAGAATTCTGGTGGTCTCAGCCCTTTCAGCCCCATCTCTGTCTCAAGTCATCAATGTGTGAGTGAAAAGTTATTTGAGTGGTAGAGCAGGAAGGAAAAGTCTTGTTGCTGCTTCCAGGAATACCGAAATTACAAGCTCATACAAATTCAGTTTAAGTCAAAGACATTATTTCTAGAGCCATGTTGTACCTTCAGCAGTGTTTTAAGTGTTCTCTTGAAAATAATTACTTAGTGGTAGTTGTGTTTGGAGGATTGGTGGTGATTGCAGTCATCTCTAGTGTACTTGATACCTGAGAGAATCTGTGAATTCAGTTCCTTCTATAATCTTAGTGAGTCAGGAGCACTTCGTGCCCACAGGGTCAGGTCTGAAGTGACAGTGGTACAAGCCCCATGACTTTACAGGGGCATAGACAGCAGTTCTGCACTGGAAGGTGATACAATACTTTTAGAATATAATGGAGTATTTTTTCCTCAAGGTACAGTTACGCTACATTGCCCATGGGAGATCCAGAAACATCACCTTCCAGCTACATAACCTAACTTTCCATAAACTTGTGTCTAGGAATAACTACAAGAAACGTTCATCCTGTTTTCTCTTTCCATTTTTTCTATGGTTCTTTTTACTTATATAATACTCTTTTTCTTTTGCGATAACTTCTAGATTAAGTGCTTCATTGCATAGGATTCTTCTGACTCAAAATGGTTTGTTAGAGCTCTCTTTTACCATGATTTTATTGTGTTTTAACTGCTTCAATGGATATACTGTGGATAGTAAGCACTGTGGAAGAAGGTAGGAGATGGTGTCTGGGCTATATTGCATTTTTGTACTTAGAATCACTATAGTACTTGGTTTTTTTTAGGCTTTGTGAACGTTGCCAGAAATAAGGTAGTTTGAGTTCATTTTCCATGTATTTGCTAAGTTCTTACATTTTGCATGCAAGTCTTTGGTTTGCTTGAAGTGATGGAAACTTAATTATCCGAAAGTGGAAGTTTAAGCTATGCACTATCTGATGGGGAACTGAGAGTTTGGATGAGGTGCTTAGAAGAGGGGAAGACAGCTTTTTGCTTCCTCTCTTCTGTCTTCAGCAGATGATGTGAGCAACTCTGGGAGAATATCTCTTGAAAGGATATCTTTGGGCAAATACTTAGGATGGAAGCAGGAGTTTATTGGGATTGAAATGTGGTCAGCTGGAAAATAGTTCCTACTGGGCCTATCTGTAGAACACAGAAGAGCAGAACACAAACCTGAGGTTGCCCAAATCCGTGACATTGGATTTCAAGGACGTAAATTGATGTGATCTGAGCATAAAGAGGAAGCTGAATCAATCTTTTATTTTTCTTTCTTTGTGAAATTAATATCAACCAAATAAAACCACTTCTGTGAGCAAAACATAATGGAAAGATGGACCTAAATGCGATGAGAAAACAGAGTGAGTGGAACATTGCACTCTGTAATTGTAATATTTAATAAGTAAGTTTTCCCAAGCTAAGCAGAGCGATTACCATGTTAAACCTTTTGTTATTTCAAAAAGATAATTCAAGTTGGACGTGTTCAGAGCAGGAGCTAAAGAACAATATTCTTACTAAAGATGGAGAACATCAGGAAGATGTGGTTGCGGTGCTTGAAATCCATAAATGTCTGAAGCTTCAGATCTCTTCTTTCAGTTGTCTGAGTTCAGTCTTGTTATGTGTAAAGCTTTTTTCCCTCCTCTGGTTTTTTTTCCTGATTTGGATAATTTTTTTGTGTGTGTTGATCTGTCTGCAGAGGACGACATGCAAATTGATGAGAAGTGGGTGGAAACAGGTAACTGAATTGACTTCAGACTACTGTTTCCTTCAAGGTAATAGCTAGTCAAAGCAGATTTTATTTTCTACTTAAAGATAATAATTCTCCAAGTGAACTGAACTGTAGAAAATTCTTGTTTTCATAATCTGGTAACATATGTCACTGTAAGAAAATGAGCTGTCTGCAGTTCTAGTGAACAGTGCATGACTGCTTACAGTGAAGTGTGCTGAAATGAGGGACCACCCAAAAAACATCTGAATGAGAACCAACATCTTTGATTCAGGTTTTGAATTGTGTAACAACATCAGTTTTGCATATTTAATGCCAGAGATGATTGGAATTTTTGAGAACCCACACAATTCATTGTCAAGAGACTGAACTGATGTGAATATATTTCTAGGCAGTGAGCAACAATAGGGTTTCACAGGTAAATAGTATATATGAAGAGTGTGAACTTGACATGTTTCTTGAAGTGGCACAGCTCATTCTCCTTCTACTGAGGTATTTAAGAAAGTTCTCAAGAGGGGATGTGATCCTGTAAGTACCTGCTGCGGAACTTTTTCCAGTTTTCTGAAACAGTTGTTACCATTCACATCTGGACTGCATGAAAAACGGCTAGCACATTACTTGTATCATGTCAAATTTGTTAAATGGAAGTTTAAGAATCTGAGACACTGCCCCCAAGCAGTATTGTTTATAAAGGCAATGCGACACCTAAGTGCTTTTGTAGATGTATTGCCTTCAGGTGCCTGGTGCATCACAGGATTAGTGCGTGCATGCAGAATGCCTTGAATGTGGTGACCAAAGTCCCCTAATCTCACATACTATGCTGTCACATCCTTAGCTGGAAACTCAGGTCCTTGCCTAGGTTACTTCTGGCATCATGGGAGGGTTTGAAAACGTCTTTGCCTCAAACACAAGTAGGAACTGTAGATTTGCTGTTACATCAAAAGGGAACATAACGAAAAAAACAACAGCCTGTGTACAAAGAATCTTCCAATTCCTATGCCAATCCACTTTCTGCACGTATTGCTATTGGGGAAGAAACGTTTTCTAAGCAGATTTCCAGAAGAATGACTGTGTGGAGAGAGGTTAGGCAGTTAATTCAGGCATGGCCTCAAATTAGGAGGAAGTGAAGAATATGTGTATGAAGCAGACTGATGGGAGCTGGAAAATTCAGTTATAATTCCAAAATTCTATAAGAGGAAAATAATTTATTTTGTATTTCTTTTAATATCTTTGCTATCCGGATTATTAAAAAGATGAAGAAACATTTGAGTCTGGTAAGTTCTTCTGACCTAACTCTGAATTCCTTGATATTGTTTTGCTTTGAGATGACTGTCCACAAAAGAAGCAAGTGGCTTAAAAACAAGCAGTTGACAAAAATAGAATACTGTTCTAGCTTTAAAAGCCATTCTAAGTCTATGGTGCCTGTAGGAGCTGCTGATGTATGAAGAGAGAAAATGTTCTATATTCTTGGTTGTGTGCATAGTCAAGAATATATAGAAAGAAAAATGTTTTTATAAAAATGAATGCGTTATGTATAAGTCAATCAGTGAGGGAGTTTCTTTGGTTTTGTTTTTTAAACCAAGCAAATAGTTATAGCTAACAGCTCCCTATCTATTGCATATTGAGAGTTCTGCAAAAATGTTAAGTCTTCTGAAATAAATGTTTTCCACTAACAGAAGTCATCTACTATTAAATTTCTTTGAGGTGTTTGGCAGGGGAAAAAAGTCATTCCAGCTCCCTTTCCTGCAGCTCTTCTGCATTTCATTTGCCAGTAGGATCATCTTTTATCACAGTTTTTTCACTCTCAATCGGAGCCCAAGTCTCTTAAGACGGGTCTACATAGCTGTTTTTTGTTTTCAGGCTAGGCCACTTGGTAACTGCATTTGGGGTTTACTGTTGCAAATCCTACTCCTTACTCACCACTGAGTCTGCTCTCTGCTGTAGCTAAGCAGTTAGAGCAATGATGAAGCAAATATTTCCTATCCTATGTCTTACTAAACAATTAGCTGGCTGTTTTTATGATTTATTTTGCAAATACAATACTGAAATAGATGCTGTAGATGAGACTCCTTCTGAACATTCATGCTCTGTGCTTCATAGGGTGTATTTTGGGGCCAGAGCCTACAATACCCATTTCCTAAATTCAGTTGGCCATGCTGGTTGATTTTCTTCATTTTAGTTTTGAGAAAACAGTCCGTACTAATTGCTCTGTTTGTCTTTGTCTGAACCCTCAGAGGAGCTTAAAGAAGGTAACACTAACTTTTTTTTTTCTCAAACTCTGTAAGCAGCAGTCTATTAGAATTTATCAGGATATATTGTATGATGATAAACTACACTCCTGTTATAATATCTGATAGCTGTTATGTTTACTCACCGTAAATTACCATGCTGCACTCTGTACCATGGAAGGACAGGGTAGATAAAGCAGGTAAACTCAAAGATTTGAATGACATCTCAAAATTAATAAGGATAGAAAGGATGTAAGCATAGGTGGAATATTTTCTGGAATATTGAAACACAGATATATCTGATCCAAAGATGATTTAAAAAAAAAAAAAAAGGTGCTGAGTGGTCTAACTAGATGTGCATTGCATATTCCAGGCATGCTGTTGGGCAGAAATTGACCTGCGTGGTTACTCTAAATTGGTTATTTTTGACTTTGAGCTATTGTGTTGTTGGTCGTTGTGATGTTGTAACTGAAGAATTCTTGTAAGCTAGGTTTCACCTGCAAAGCTTAAATTAGGTAGACTTTTTTTTTTTTGCACTTCAAGTATTTCGAAACATTGTCTGGTGTGTAGTTATCATAGAAACAGAACAAATAAAGCACTGAGGTTTCTGATCTCACTTAGAAAAAACCGTGACTTTCCAAGCTTTATTCAACTAGTTTAAGCTTAATTTCCAGGCTCTTACAGAAAACATCGTCTTGTTCGAATATTTCATATTACTGTGTAGCGTGCTTTTTAAACTAGATTAGTTGTAATACTAGCTTGTGTTTTCTGCAACGCTTTTCTTACAGGATCAGAAATAATTGCTAGCAGTGTAGCTTTGAAACTTTCACTTTTTTTTCCTTTCATGAGTATTTGTTCTTATTCTAGAAGAGGAAGAATTCAGTGAATTTGGTCAACGAGTCTTCATTGGTACGCAGTGACTAAAGATAAGTAAGATGTTTAGGGCTTGATCTAGATTAAATGTTTGTGTGGAGTTTAAATCAAATGCTCTGGTCTTCACCTAAAGAGTTACTGAACTGAATTTTGCTTACTTGTTTTCCAGACTTCAGGAAGCCATTTTCTTCGTACTAGTATTTGCTCTCTCTGTTTAAACCTCTGTTCTTGATACCATAACAACCAATAACAATAACAATCTCTGTAAAGTATTTGTATTCGTTTTGTAGGCTGAAGCAAAAGTTCAATATCTGTTTCAGCAGAGTAGACCTTAAAAATAAATAAAGTCTGTTGGCATATTCCTATTGATACTTTATAAACTTCTGTTTGGGCTAGTTTTGGGCAAGTTGTTGTGCTCTTTATTTATGGGCTAATTTTCAGGTAGCTTTTTAATGAGACTTGACTTCATTCATCTAACGCTCAGAGGTCCTACCAAGCTAATTTGCCAAGAATGCTAGTGAAATTAACTATCCCTTACCTTGCTAAAAAATGCAGCAGATATTTAGCTTAAAAAGAGACACTCTAGGCTCCAGAACTACCTGCCTGCATTTTAGTTGCGGTTTCTAGTGCCGATGCCTTTGTCCCTTACAGCTGGCTTCCGCAGAAGTATGCGCCTGTGTCGGAGGAAGTCCCGGGCCAACCAGCAGTCATGTTACGCTCGGTGCCCCGGCAGCTGCTGTAGCACTTTTGCAGCTCCATATGAGGAGGTGGTTAGGTACCAGCGGCACCCAGGAGATCGGAACAGACTGATTGTACTAGTGGGTAAGCTGTGATTACTTTCTGATGAAACATCAACAGCCTGTAACGGAGAGGAGGAAATGGTCAGTTTGTGTCCGATCAATGGAGATTTACTGCTGCTAATTGTGACAGGCAGTGGCTGAGGACAGCAGAAGTAGCTCTGAAAGCAACATTCAGGAATGATTTCTTGTAATTTTTCTCCATTGTTGATTTTAAATTCTGACGTATGTATCATCTTTACTTGAGACAATTTCCTAAAAAAGAAAGAAACAACAAAAAGGCAAAATCTTCAGAAGAAACCATATGGTTGTGAATTCTGGTTGAATATATATTTTATTAGAGAAATGGTTCAGGTAGGACTGATGCATAAAAGCGATGAAAAACATTTGTATTTTACTAGGAAAACATAAATACATGCAAGCATTTCTACTACTGAAATTAAAAAATGCACAGGTATGGCAGCAGGAAAAAAAAAAACTTTGGACTAGAAAATCTCTATCCTGGGTGGAAGGGAAAACTAAAAAGATATCTTTAATCGTGGTTACTATAGTAAACATTGTCTTAACAGGCTGCTGTTTCTCAAGTTCTCTTCACCCATTATGACTGAAAGAAGTCTGGTTTTCTGTAGTGTTCCATGTTCCTGAAAAAGCAGACTGAGTAAAAGCAGGTTATTTTCCTTTCCAAGTTTGGAGGTTTATTTAGTGTTTTGTTTTAAAATGATTCTGCTGAGTTACTTCCTAGGAGTGACCATATTGCTAGGAAGTTATTTGTACCCTCATCCATCAAGGTACCTCAGTCACATTTGGTATATTTTTTCAGGAAGTTCCCAAAATCAAACTTACAGAGTGATTACTTGCTGCCAAATAATCCTTCAACACGAGTAGCAATAGGGTTTCTATTCTGATGATAGGTCATTGCCTATTACCTAAAAATATAAGTTTATCATACTTACAATTCATCTGTGTATGTGCAAAATATTAGAAAATGGTTGTCTTTTCCAACCTTAATGATTCTGTGAAAATGTGGGGGGTGGGTGCAAAAAGTGCCTCTAAGTCGTTTTTTCAACTATTCAGGTCCTGCAGGAGTGGGAGTGAATGAGCTAAGGAGAAGGCTTATTGCAAGCAACCCACGAGAGTTTCAAAGCGCTGTGCCTCGTATGTAATATTCTTCTTTCCCCCACCACCTTCAAAAATGGTGATAAGGAAATGTGAAGTACCTACCTCTTGCCTTTGTGCACTCATGCTCTTTGTTGCGTGACTGTTTTGTACTGCAAGCCGTAGTCATTTGTGTTTAGGAAAGTTGGTTTAAAATAGTACCTTTCTGTATTGGCAAATCGGCCAAAGGCACTTTTCAGTTACACCTTTTGAAAGCTTAGAACTTTATGTAGCAATAAATCTGTATGACTCTCTAATTTTTGCCATTTCCTTTTCATAGATAAAGTAAGAGTATTTCTTAGGTGTGTTTTAATTTCATAGCATTTAGGTGATCAGGTGTGAGAGAGGAGGCAACTGAAGATGGTGCTTAATAGGCTTTGCAGCTTTCCTTATTAGCCTTCTGGTCTTGAATGAGACTAATACAGATTAATTTCTGACTTAATCATAGAAATTTCCTCTACCTTTCCTTATTGAGTTCTTGTGATTTGGATAACTAAAGAGGGAATGTATCAATCTGAAACTTGTTGAAAACTTAGGAATTCCATTATATTTAAGGTCCCAAATATGAGGAGAGTGCAGATGTGAAAGTACTTGCAGAATGTTTCACAATGAACATAAATCAGCTTCACCTCAGAGGAGGAAAAGCAATTATGCAACTAGTTCCGAAGAAGTTTCTGATTGACTGTACTTCTTCCATTCCAGGAAATATAGGTAGCTTAGTTTTCAAGGATTTTCTGTTGGTCAGCCAGTAGAGTAGACAAGGCTTTTGCTCTGGACTTAAAAAAAAAAAATGAAGACAACTGATTTTAGTACCTACAAAAATATTTATATGTCTTCATGAAAGCTCCCTTATTTTCATCTATAGCATTGCAAGAATTTACTTGCAGCTGATTTCTACTGTCTCTACTTTCAGACACCACTCGAGTTCAGAAGAGTTATGAAATGAATGGTCGTGAATATCACTATGTATCAAAGGAAACTTTTGAAAACATGGTGTATAGCCACAGGTAAACTGTAACACTATCTGATAGCCAGTGATTTTGTAGTTAGGATTTAAGTCTGGGTTCCTCTCCTTACACTTGCTATGTGAGTTGGGTGTGTATTTGGGTGGTATGGTTGAGTATGTTGGTTGGTATTACTTACTATACTTGGTTGGAGTTGGTTGGTTGGTATTACTTGAGCCCATTGTTTCAAAAACCATTTGTGCAATTGCAAATAAGCTCCTCTACAATTAATCTTGGCATTCTTCTCAAAGTGTGGCCTCTAGTCCTGAGCTTGTCTGGTGTGATTGGTAAATTAGGAATATAAGCCCTCTTAGGAACTGACCTGGTTTCTGGTCAGGCTTGTCCCTAATCTGTATCACTGTTGTGGAACCTCTGTGGTGATGACATCTCCATGTAAGCACCTCAGGTATAAGGCCCAAACTTTAAGAACTGTTCCTTTCTCTGCCTCAATAGGCTCTCTGCTAAAATAGACCAGCTTAGCAGCAGAAGCTATACTCCTTAAGTGTATACTCTGTAAGCTATACTCCAAAGTGCTTTGAAATCATCTCATCTGCAAAGTTATTAGCACTGAGTATATAACTGACAAGCTTTTTGTTGCTAGACAACACATTATTTGTAATAGTAAAATAAGTAAAAGATAAGCCAAGTATACTTTCATTATAGCTGTAGTAGTCCTTGAGTTGTGTTCACTATGTTTTACAATTTCTCAATCTTAATCACTGGATTAGTTTGGAAAGTTTCACACTTAGATGGAACCTTTTTGAGACTGAAGCTCTTTTTTTGTTTTCCTTCTTTCTCACCACTGTTACAGAATGCTGGAATACGGGGAATACAAAGGGTACATGTATGGTACCAGTGTTGATGCAGTGAGAACAGTCCTTGATGAAGGGAAGATCTGTGTAATAGATTTGGAACCACACGTGAGTTGTAAAGGGGCAGGGAATCTACAACTGGTATCTCCTGGAAGGAAAAGTAATTCTGTGTGCATTCATGAACTACTGGAACACTGTTAGATGCTTTGTCTTGTATTTCCTGTTACAGTGTTTAGTAATAGTAGATTTGTCTTCGCGTGGGTCTTAAGGGAAAAAGCACTACTGTGACAAGTACATGCAGATCAGTATTATTCTCTTGTTCATCTGTTTCCAAGTAAGCAGCTGCGTTGTCAGGTGGAATGATGCAGAAAGGAGTTTTCATGCTTGTATACAGCAAGGACTATTCTTTCATGTGGAAGCTGTGATTACAGTGAGCTAGACTGAGCCTTAGTTTTGCAGTGGTTTGTTATTTTTTTTTTTAAAGTTACATACCTGCGGAGCACTACTCAAAATCCAAGCTGCTGTAGAAGCAGTTAAGGCTACACTTTGGTATTTGTTCTGTGTCTGAAAACATCCATAGTTTAATTCTGCTGCCCTTTTCCTGAACAAGAGGGAGGAGGAGGGAAGAAACTTAATCTCGCTGCTTCTACATTATATGCCACCATGAGTTTCTAGAATGCGAGTTTGTGGGCAGGTTTTAGTAAGGGTATGAAGTAATGGTACATAACCGTTCTTTAGTGGTCACTAGGAGGTAGGAGAATTGCTGTGTATTTGCATACTTATATTTTAAATGAGGTAGCTTGGCCAACTTTACATGCTGCAATTTTTATCTTTATTTTTTTTTCTTTTCCAAAAATACTTCTCCAAAAGTAGCTCAATAGGTTTTTTGGTGGTTGTTTATTTAAAATCAGAGACCTCTTTAATGTTGTCGGTTTGTTAAAGGCAGTGTCCAGATACTCACTGACATTGAAAGCATCTTCTAATAAGGTTGTCAAGCAGAATTAAGTGACTGGTATGCTATGCTTGCTTTAATAATGTCTGGTCCAGGGATTATCAGTGAGGTCATTCTAAAGTAGGTGTTTGTGGAAAAGATTACTGCTCGGTCTGGAGGTAACAGTACATTGTAAGCAATTGGTTTTCTATTGAAATACAACTGGGATGAATACACCTGAAATAGTTGTTTTTACTCCTACTTTGCAGGGCATCCAAATAGCCCGGACTCATGAATTAAAGCCCTATATTATATTCATCAAGCCATCCAGCATAAGCTGCATGAGGCAAACGCGTAAAAATGCCAGAATCATTACAGATTATTATGTGAACATGAAATTCAAGGTGAGATGTGGGAATGGAAGAGACACGACTTGCTACACTGGGGTTGTGTGTTTAGAACATAATGCCTTCTACTGTGCTACTCGGTTACATCTTTACAACTTTATGTCCTGAGGTTCAGATCTAAATTTTTTTTTTTTCATTTTATTTTCATATTTTCCCCCTCTGAATTTGCTTTGAAGTAGGAGGGTTGTGATTTGTACACAAGGAATTGAAGCATTTGGTAAATGCCTTTATGCAAAGAGACTATTTGGGATACTTCAGTTTTAACTAACTGCCTTGTGACAAGATTTGAGCCAACACACACATTTACTGTTTGTACTGAAATGTATGGATCAAATGTGCTTCATTCAGTGATGTAACAAAATATTTTTCATGCAGTTTTAAGTGTGTAATGCTGTATAATGTATTACTGGCAGTACTGATATCTGTTCCATAGTGACTTTTATAGATAGAACACAAATCCTGCTTGTGGGAAACACACAGCTTGCATTTGCAATGTGTGTAGTGTATTTATCACCACTGTTTCCATGCAAATCATAATCAAGGTTAGCATCTTAAAGTTTTAGAGACCTCAGTGCATAACCATACATGGAAATAAATCATATTTGCTATGACACAAAGAAACATGAAAATGGAGAAGGTAAATTAAAATGCAGAGTAAGAATGTGTGCAAGAGAGCAAGTGGAGCATACTGAGACTCAAGGTACTTCTGTGTTTCAGAATTCAGAATGATTGTAGCCAACATTTTTCAGTTGTTATAGCAACTGTAAATTGAAATGGTGTACAATGGCATTGTCTTGGCTACTCGCTTGTTTTTGTAGCGCAGGGTGTTCTGCAGGTGCCATGCTGACTGTTTCTCTCTAGAGTACTAGAGCTTTTGAGATTTGTTGTGTCTCACAGGAAGAAGATCTACAGGAAATGGAGGATTCTGCTAAGAAAATGGAAGCTCAGTTTGGTCAGTTCTTTGATCAAGTGATTGTGAATGACAACTTACAAGAAGCATCCGCTCAGCTGTTGTCTGCAGTCCATCATGCACAAGACGAGCCCCAGTGGGTCCCTGCAATATGGATATGCTCAGATACTGAGACATAATTCAGAGTGGCAGGCAGCTCCATGAAGATTACAGATTGTTTTACTTCAAGAATAATCCTCATGTCAGGATTGTGAGAATTTGTCTTCGTGTGCAAGGGATTTGGAAGAGGATTAGGAAAGAAGCCGCTATAGGAGATATTATCATACTATGTTCTGTGTAACTGTACAGCTTTTATGCTACAACTGCACCTTTTTTTGTACAAAAAGGAAACACTGTGAGCAACCCACTACAAGAATAAATAAAAATCTATTTTGTTGCATGTATAATTTACTCATGGGTGTCCAACCTTTTGGCTTGCTTGGGCCACACTGAGTGAAGAGGAATTGTCTTCAGCCACATGTACAGAGGCTGCTCTGAAAGTAATTACTCCTATTTTACTTTCACGGAAACTACAGCAGATAAAAAGAGCACAACATTATTTAATAGTGTTTTGTAGCTGAGAATCTGCTCTCTTTTTCACTGTGATCACCACCATTAGCTATGCATTTTGTCAGCGATGAACAAGAGCCTACATGTCATGCTCATCAAAACCTGCACCAGCAAAGGTGGCCCACTGTGTTTGCATCCTGTTAGGTCTCCATTAATGTTCAGAAAGTGTCAATGAATGGTGGCATTTTTTCCACATGGAGGAATTCAGTGACAGAATTTTGCCTCAGATGCCATTTTGTCGGACTGCCCCTCTGCTGCCATTTGTCACATGGCAACAAAATGGAATGGAATATTAGTGGGAAGGTTCACCTCCACTCCATATCACCAACATTTGCTTCTGACATTGCAGGCCAACATAATAAAATAAAGGGTGTTACTTTCAGAGCAGCCTTCATAAAATATGCAATACAGCTACTGTGTAAAGAGCAACAAAAACATCAAACTAGAGGGATATGTGACCTTGTTTTTGTGAAACTTAACACGCTGGCCTGGTTTGATGGCAGTGGTTACAATTCTCAGGGAGGTCTCAGAGTGTTTGTTTTGGTTTTAGGTGAAGTTTTACTTGTACTTCATCCTTCACAACCGTTCACAAATGTGTGTACTGCCAAAAAGGGATGATGTGAATAAGGTGTGATTGTGAAGTGAGAGATTTTTTTTCTCTTGCAAGAGAGGGCTTATAAAAGTCTGGTAAAGAGATATGACCAAACTTTGAAGTGAATGCCTGATTGCAACTTTTGAAAATTCACAGGTTATTCATTTATGTCGACTGCAGTCGTAAATATGCAAAAAAAAATATTTTTTTTGCAATCTTGAAATCTATTCTCAAATTCCTGTATCAAAGTGGACAGTATGGCTGCATGGTTTTTTGTTGTTCATCAATCTGTGTACAGCTATTGTATCAAAATGTACACAGTTATTTGCCATAACTTGAGTTACCACTGCCCTGCACCCTCTGTCCTAGACCAGCCCAGACAGTGCTGATCACACACTGACATGCAGTGGTTGTGAGCAATGAGTGTACGCCTGAGGCCACTCGGTGGGGCAGAGTTGCTGCCATGATCTAGCAGGGCTTGGCTTGTCCTCCATCAACTCAAGTGAATGAAAACTGACGAAACACGGATTTATTAAAGAGGAAAATCAAATCCAAAGCCCCTTTTCCTGATGGTTTGAAGCAAGGCAGCATGTTCTCTTCATAGAGAGTACAGAGATTACAGCTGGCAAATTCCTCACTCTCTTCATCTCGCATTACAGGTGCATTGGATGCTGAGGAAACAGCTCATTCTGTCAGCCCAGCTTCCCCGGAGAAAATGAATTGGTGAAGGCTGTGCTGCCTACAAGAGGTGACTCCTGTACTAAGGCTGCTTTTGTAGCTAGCGCTGCGCCAGCTTCTAGTGAAGTCAGAGCCGGTGTCCTTGGTGAGAAACGCACTGGAAAGCAGAGCCCACCATGGCCCTGGAATGGGGTGAGTAGGAGCAGTGGGAGAGGGACCAGTGCACGGGCTGGTACTGTGCCCCTCACAGCAGTGGGACATAAATTGAAAGGCAGCTGGCAGAAAAGCACAGCATCGGGTGTTCGTTCCCTTTGCGGTTTAATTTTCTTCCCGTTTAGAGCTTATCGCTTCATTTGCGAATAGTGTCAGTGATAACGAGACGAAGGAAGCCAGAATCCCAGTTTGGAAAAGGCCTTGCTTCCGCCCCCCCCCCCCCCCCCCCCCCCCC